AAAGCCCCGAAAATACGAAGCGAAGAGGAGCATCTATTCAGCATATTTCTTTCTAGTGTTCAGAATCCCACCCCATGATTGAATCACATGAGAAAAAAAAGGAAAAATGTCGGTAGATTCACCAACACGCTTTTACGGTAGGATGGGTGAATTTTTAAATGCAATAAGATCACTTCGTAAGATTCGATGCCTTGTTCTTATGTCTTAATCCTGGGAGGAAGTTCGTGGGAATTAACTCTGAGATTACAGTTTAATTCATCAACTACGGTCAATGTGCCACTTATTTGAGAAGATGTCAAGTCTCATCTTGATCCCTTATCAACAACATCAGCGCATTCGGGATCTCTGGAATTTTTACATTCTGAACGATGCTTTCTCCTGTGATTTTTAAGATATCATAAGATTTGAGATTAGAAAAGGTCACGTTAATGATGATATAATTGCCGAAGGCAGTCACACAGTGGCTAGGAACAAATTTTTCCACATATCCCACCTGTTTTATAATGCATTAGTATTATCAAATAAACCGAATTAGTATATACACCGAAACCATGAGTCAATTGCACATCTCGGAATGATGATTCAAAATAAAATACCCTATTATCACGCACAAAATTAATATCAGAAAAAAGAACGATCATCTAGGTCTAGTGCTTTATTAATACAATATAAAATACATGTTAATCTGGAGATCTATCCACCCACTATTTTTTGAAAATTTTTTGATTCGGGCTCTCTTACTAGCAGGAGAGTTATCAACTGTTACCCGATCTTTTAAAAGACCAACGATAATTTCCATTATTCGCTTTATGCTATTCCCAAGTATATCAATATTTTCTTTAATTGCTGTTTTTGAAAGATTAATCTGATATTCACTTTCACTAGTGCAATAAAGCCCAACAATGGTAAAAACAAGAAAATGCCAATCCATATCCATGAATAGAGGTAGTCATAGTTTAGCCGTACTTTTTTCTTACTTGTATGGTATGCGCGTTCGAGTTGCATGATATTTTGGAGATAACCAATCTTGATATTACGTGGTTTGCCTTCAGCGATACACATGAGATCTTCTTTCCCCTTTATAGCGTAGTCAACACGCCCGGACGCTTCTTCACTAAAGACATCTTTTTACAGTAATATATAGAGTTTTTCTTCTTTGGTAAGTCTTCGAACTATGGCAAGTGATGCGTGTAGGATGGATGAAATAAATTCACAATGGGTAGCTCGCTAACATCCGTCATCGTCTCAATATTTGTCAGGATTAATATGATATCCGTCACACAATGCTTGAATGCTTCATCATTATTATCGATTTCCTCAAAAACTATAAAACAAAAAAAAATGTTAGTATATAATCTATCTATGTTCGATCTCTGCGAGTCCGTAAAAATGCCAAGAAAAATAAAATCAAGCAATCACATGTCTGGATTGAATTGTTTGATGCTCGTAATATCCGTTCCATTGACCTTATACTTGCGGAGAACGTCTTTTAGTTCATCCAGAGTTTTGTAGGTTGAGAAGCTTCATATCATTTCGCAAGTGTTATAGCTGGTCCTATTTCAAACCCACATTCATGAAAATCTTCCTTAGTCATCTCAAGTAATGAAAGCCCAGCAATTTTTCGTTTGCAAAGGATGGTGAAATCATCATTATCAAGGCTCAAGTCTTCTTGTTTTCGATAAGCTCTTCCGTCTTAAACTTTCTAACTACGTCCGCCATCGTTCGGGTTAACCTTTCTTCTGTCAAATTAGAGGATGTAGAGTGTGAGGACAGTTTACTTTTATACGTAGAAATTTGCAAAATCTTGTTTTATGTACAGTATCTCACGAATAAGAATTTTTTATCGCATCTGTTTTTAGGTGATCGGTGATTTTATATTTACATGAGAAGTTACACAAACTATCGGGAGATAAGAATTGATTTGACTCGGTCATTTGACACGCTTGTCGAAATGAAAAACATTGCCCTTTGTAAGGTAGATACAAAAATATGATGTAAATACAAATTAAAAAAATCTATGTATCCCCGACGCTATTTAATTAAATTTTCCGGATGCATTCTTTTAAAGTGAACGATTTGACCAACAATTACCTAAATATTAATTAAATAGCATAAGAATATTCAACATAAAATATATATCTATAATGACATGCGAGAATGCCAAAGTATTTGTCAATCACTGCGCCCAATGAGATATTTATCCTAAGGCTATCTGGAGCAATTCAAAAAATTATTCGATCTTCCAACTAACCTAATTGTATGTAAGTATTTCTTCATAAACGCTTATGAAACCGTTTAGCTCGACGATCGCAACGATGATCTGGGAATTGCAGAGATCTCGAACCCCTATGACTCATAATTTCTGATAACGGAGCTGACAGGAATCAATGGGCTATTTATCTTTATTGCTTTTTCGAGTCTTGTTTCATTTGTTCTTATCATAAAAGCAGATTTATGTTCCATGAATTTTTATGACGTCATATTCCAAAATAGATATATAAACCGTTTTCCCACACCCGATATAGTCTCTGTTCGTTCGGGCTTTTTTTCACCTCGCATTTCCCTTTCCTTGTAAGACGAAGCACGACATAAACAATGTTTTTTTCACGCCTTCCTACCCCCGATATGGTTTCTAGCCATCTTTTTCCTTGTCTTTCTTTGTAAGGCGATGAAGCATGAATATAAAAATGTTGGTACTAACTACTTTTTTTCTTTATTTTTTCCTATAAATATGAACTTCACTACTAGACTCTCCAACTTTTTAATTAACGCTACCGAAGAGCATATTACCGCCAGTTCTGTTATTTACCAAGTAATAGAAGAAGACCCTTGGATACCACAGAATGAGTTGAAGAGTATCGTCTATCAAGAAGTAACATTAACAACAAAAAACCTTTGTGAAGAAAGTTCTCCTCGGTATATAGCTCTTCTCGAAATTTTTTCAGAGGTAAGACGATAACTTTTTAAATGAATAATGTAGTTTTTGTCGATGTCCCAAATGAAGAGTAATGCAGGTAGTAACACTGAGAAAACAGTTTGAGTACTTCATAGTCCGCCTACAGAATAGCTTCCTCGACTGCGTGAGTTAGTCCGCCTACAGGATAGTTTCCTCGACTGCGTGAGTTAGTCCGCCTACAGGATAGCTTTCTCGACTGCGTGAGGAGTATTTAAGCTGTATATGTGTTTATTTAATATCTGCGTGGTGGCCACACAAAGATAGAGCTTTGTCTATATTCTGACGACGCATGCTTTGATCTTATTCTATCTGACGAGATAGTTAAGAATGAATTTATAATAATAATTTTTTTTTATACCTGCATTAGTACGACATTTCCTATAAAGCTATATGTGATTTATGTGATCTCGGCGTGGTGAGAATCAACTTACCAACAATATAAGATTATTGAAAGGAAAACTCAATAAAATCAAGAGTCACTTTATCAACATCTGTTTTCTATGTACTTGATATATCTACTGAAGAATTGTCTTGGAAGAAAGTCAAGTTATCAGTGACGGTTCCAATATAATTAAACAACTCCCGAATCATTTGTATCATTCTTTTATAAAGCCAGCATCTCGGATGATATCATCCTTTTCATCACTCATTCAAAAAAAATGTGATGAATCCGAAAATTGTACAACAGATTTGTCACAAAAATTATCACATGACAGTAACTATAGACTTGCGATTATTACAGAAAGGATTTCGAATACTTTGTAAGTATATATAAAGAGTTATTCATTTCATTCATAATTAATAACATATGTGAAAAGGCGAGATAGTTAATTATGAATCTTTGTTATAGAAATGACATTTGGAATAATCAAGCAATTTGGTCCGAGTTTGCTAAGTCATTGAATAAAGATGCTTACGTTTCGAACGTGATTCTACCTGTCATCCGAGCAACATTGCAAGATCTTCCTTTCAGTAAATCTACATTTATCAGGAGGGGGGATAGACGAAGTGGCCGAAGACCAAATGTTATGTTTGTCGTGAAACACAGAAAGAGAAATTACGAGCTTTTATACGT